AGTTCAAAAAGAAAATGACATTACATCTAGCAACTAAAACGTTTATAAGTGCTTACCGAAGCACAAAGATGAAACTACGAAGGAGAAAGTAAAAAAATTAGTAGAAAAGTGCTTCCAACAAACAATAATGGTTCTTCAGAAAGAAAATGAGTTCCTTCTAGCAACTCAAACCTTAAAGGTGCTTACCAAAGCACAAAGTTGTAACTACACAGGATGAAGAAAACAAATTAGTGCAAAAGTGCCTCCCACAAATAATACTGGCTTCTAAAAAAGGAATTGAGTTTCCTTCTAGCAACACAAATCTTATACGTGCTCACCGAAGCACAAAGATGTAACGACAGAGGAGAAAGGAAAAAAATAGTGCAAAAGTGCCTCCAACATACAATATTTATTCTTCAGAAAGAAAATGAGTTTCCTTATATCAACTCAAACCTTTATAGGTGCTTACCGAAACACAAAGATGTAACTACGCAGGATGAAGAAAAAAAATAGTGGAAAAGTGCCTCCAACAAATAATACTGGCTCCTGAGAAATACAATGAGTTTCTCTCTAGCAAATCAAACATTTCTTGGTGCTAAGGGAACTAGAACTCCACCATGGGGACCACAATCCAGTGATCTCTGTGCCGGTCGCAAGTCCGGAAAAAGGAGGAGCGTTAGACGGAAGGAGTGCAGATGCCGCCGTCTGTCAAAAAGAAAAGACGAAAGAAACCAACCATGAACGACGACGATAATCGAAAACCATACCGGCTCGGACGTCGCCCGGGTGAACAAGGTCCGCGTCCTCTGTCGAGTAACCAGGACAGAGTCGAAAAATTGGCTACTGGAAAGACNGTGAAATGTGACATTGAGAAAAATAGTAAATTCTTTGTATGATATGGATATGTTTGAACAAGGACATTGCAGAGTATCAGAGTGAGTATTTTGTAGATTTGTATAAGTTGATAGAGAGGGAGTTGGAACTATTATAGTCGATGATCGTTCAACTAGTCCAACGTAGAAAAAGAAAAGAATCGTGAAACCAACCAAGAAAATGAGATAGAGGCGTGTCCACATAATTTCTTGTCTCTGAACAGAATTTATGCTAGAGTCTGTTTCAAACAGATTGAATGTAACTATATATTTTCGAATTCGACTGATGTATGAAGCCGTTTGGTCTAAAATTGAAGATGGCTAAAAGTGAGTCTTGTTGTATGAATATCTTCATAGACTTCTTAGAGGTCGTTCAACAATTCACATGATATCCTCTATATTTCAACTAAATTTCAACTAAGTAAAATGATTAATTTTATTGACCAAAATCAATTTCATAGGTTTACTCATGAAGAAGATATTAAACATAACTGATAATTAATATAGAAATGTTGCAGTTTTTGAAGAATTTTACTATATTTGTCACAAAAATGTGATTCATTTAGAGCTGTCGCCGTATCTGAATCATTGTATATGCATTACTTGACTTTTTCTTCCATAATTTAAAGTTCTGCTATTCTACCATGCTTCATGTGATATTTTTAGTGGGAACTTGCATGACAGTCTAGCGATATAAGTTACTTCTAAGGATGCTTTTCGATACTCTGGAAGGACCTCAATTTTTACAGTGTGGAGCGTTACTCATTTAGCAAAATATTCTCGCATCTTTGTCAGCATCATAACGAATTAAGAACTTCCAGGGTTTTTGTTATTTCTTCTACAAAATCAATAGCTTTGTCAAATTTCTACTCTGCTCATAGAGTTTTTTTTCGAAAATCCAGAGAAACAGCCGCGATTGTCTCACAAAGGCCATAGTTCTTTTGAATGAAATATCTTTTTCAGACGTTGCTGTAACTATTATTCGATTTTTGTATACAAACAGATACTGTAAAGTCGGCATATAAACTCCTTCTGTTTTGAATACGAGTTTTGAAACAATCTTAAGGATTAGAATATTACTAATGATTTGAAATGTATAAGAAATTTATGTGCTATCTTGAAAATTAACTATATTCAGTTACGTACTATTGCAGTGAGTGTTTTGAATTATGGATGTTGATGGATTAGTAGAAAGATCTTGTGATCGAAATCGTTTCCAAGTAATAAATATTAAATGAACCAACATTGGCAAAATCAATCGAAGAATTTTACTTAAAATTGCATACATAGCTGCAATACTAGTTATCAAAAATATCAAGTCGAATCGTTGTTGAGTATCATAGGTACAAAACAAAGGAGAGCATTTATTGTAATATTGATCATAGGAAATGTTGACTGCTTGATTTTCAAGTAAGAGAACATTCATCAATACTTCCATTGTATCATTGATCATGAACTTACTTGAAATATTTATATTAAGTGGATTAATATCGATGAGATTATCAGCACCTAGCTTAAAATAATAATTGCGCACGACATTCAAACAGGAATCAGTGAACCAACATTCCAATGATGATGCGAGTACTGTTTCAGTCATCAAACATTTACTTTGGATAGCTTTGAATTTATCTGAAAATGGATTGGTAGTGTAGTCCATCCATGCATATTGAAAGCACTCAAAACTTTGTAATAAGCAAGAGCAAATAGGGCCAAAAACCAGCGTACCAGGCGATAAATATAATGGTATTATATTTATTGAAGTGTCACTTGTTAGATCTAATGCAGAGCTTATCCTCATTTTACTCAGAAATGCATTCGCATTTATCAAAGTTCGCATTATTGATAAAATGCGATAAAATTCAGAACGTGCTGAGTCGGTGAACTTATCAGTCACTTCTTTCATTGTAATGTTAAAAATATTTTCAGGTTGAATGCGATCATTGACTAATACATTGGCGTAAAACAATTGATAAGCATCTAACATAGTTTTATTTGCTATTGAACAAAATACGGAAAGAGCTTTGAAATAATATGCTCCGATCAACTCTTTAAAACTAGTAACATAATTTTTTGTATCAAGTTCTATTCTCAATAAATTATTGAACCATTCTGGAGAAATAAACATACTTGAACACAATTGATGAAATGTCGGCACAATCTGAATAAAGCTTGAGTACGGAACAGTAATTTGGGAGCACGGACAGTTAACATTATCAGAATACATTGTCCAGAGATGTCTATAGTCGTCTGAAGATGGGTTATTTACGATGATAGTCTTTGTATGAGTACTGAGAATAAGATAGGAACTGTATATATAAATACTGACTACGATACATAAGAGAAATACATAAGTTGTAATACGTTGTTTGCTTAATACATTTAGATTTTGAGAAGTTGTTTTGAATAGATTAAGATTTTGAATAAAGTTTCGAACAACAGTAAGTAAAAATCGTAAAGTGACACGCTTAACTGAAACAAATAAATGAGTGTCATGTTCAGAAAAATTTCTAATTGCATCACTTGAAAATTGCAAAACAACCGTACAGTACAAAATGCTAATGTTTGAACAAGATTTAACAATAACGCAGTCTACATTAGAAATTATGAAGGGAAACTTTATGAATGAAAGAGCTAATTATACAGAAGTCAATTTTTATGTCATACTATTGTGCAACTATAGAACATTTAATTATCAACTAGTAGATAATCATAGTTTATAATATTTATGAGTGACAGAAGAATTGATTTCCAAACTCTGTCAATTATTAACTTTGGTGTAGTTGATTGCATGAAAAATAAAACTTTCATGTTATATGAACTTCTTTTCATTGACGCTTATGTAACCCATCGATGATACTGAATTCATAGAAAGTAGTAACATATACTAGAAGCAAAATATTGTCTTTTCTTCTTTATACACACATACATACATAAAATCTCAAAATCTTAGTTGTCTTGTAATATAGGAATGTTCATTTTTGTTTACACCGGAAATCATCTCTAGTTTCTGCTCATTGACATACATTCTACTAATAATTTATATTATAGTAAAGTGATCAATCAGACAGTATTATATGTCAATTAAAAATTGATCAACTAAGTTTTTTTTCTACAACAGCTATGGAAGTCACCTGTATTTTCGAAGAAAATAGCACACGTAACATTGTAAATTGGAAGTTTTATGCCTTCTCGTCTATGTATTATTGATCTCCACACATCTGCCTTTAAACAAACACCGGAATATTTACATTGAATGATGATGTTTGACAATATTCTAATAAATGTAGTTTTTGAGTTTTTCCTCAATCAAAATTATGCTCAAGGCACCGACAGTATTGAATAGCATGCATTGACTTTCACAATCGTAATATGATCATCATAAGCTGAGCGAATTTATCACATTATTGATTTAAATAAAAAAAAACATCATCACCAAGTGTTCATAAGTTACTTGTTTAATGTAGTTAATAGCTACTTCATATAGGATTCAATGGTTGTAAGATACAAACTCAAATATTTTTATGAGCATACATTTCTTTTTGTATATATGATCGTACGAGCTCGTTCTTTCAATGTAGAGTTTTTTTACGCAAGATGTTTTCAGAATATCTTTAACTAGTTTAGCATTTATCATAAGTTTTCTAGTGTTGTCATACTTCTTCCTTCGTAATCTGCCTGTTTTTTTCTCATTTCATTTCCTCACTGTCTTGTCGCTGAATATACACTTGATCGATGACTTATATAAACCGTATAATTAAATATTAAATTAAACATTGTCAATATATTCAAAAATGAAATATTACTTATGAGCACGCTGGTCTCTTTTGAACATAGTAGTTCTAGGTCCTTATTATCTATTCATTTAGCTAATCTCTGAAGAGGTCGAATAGCACTAGATCGCCAACTTTCTCGGAAAAATAATCTGTGGACTCAATGGTACTTAACGGCTTAACGCATCCGATAAAGATTCCATAAGCGATCATATTCTCTCTCGTAGAATTTGAACGAAATATAAATCGTCTTCATGACTTGTCGGTTCTAAATAATAACTGCAGTATACTAATGTACAATACTCTATAAACGTTTGTAACAAATACGAAATTTGACGTAAGTAACTGATTGGTTATCTACGGCGAAAATTCTTCTTAATCATATTAGAATGATATTTATATGGAAATAAATGTTTGTAATAGAATTTTGAATATTTTTTTTACAAAATTTAAATAACTCACCCGAACTTGCAGTTTGATGATTGTCGCCAACATTTGTCGAATTCTTGTTTTTTCTCCATTCAATTATTATAAATGCTAGCTTGACTAAGAATGGAGCTATAGATTTTAATACAAGTAATCCAGCACTAAACGCACTACTAACGACTGCAATGACAAAACTTAAATCGAATCGACGAGTGTATGAATATGTACAATATCTAGGATTGCAAATAGAATAATAGGATGAAAAATTGTATTTCATGATTATGTCTTCAATCATTAGTTCATTTATAAGTATCATTAAAGTGGTATTGCGTTCGAAACGACTTCTACCATTTAGTGGTGATAGTCTCATATTACTTGATGACAAATTTTGAATTAAGGACAAACACCATGAATCGTAAAAGCATTCAAACGACGAAGAGAGTGTGGCATCTAATGGTAAGCAGTTGAACATAATGCCTGGTACCGTCATTGAATCAGATATTTCATTGCCTTCAAAAATCATAGCAGGACGTAAACATCCATCCGAATATTCACAAGAACAACCATCTGGAAAACTAGTGGCATTTGCACCTGCTTCGAGATAACCATCGTCATCCTTGAAGTAAATGAAATAATTAGTACCTAAGCTCGATATTGCTTGATTCACCAATGTTGCTTCACGAGATATAAGCATATATCGCTTCAGCTTTGCTAATATTGCACCGAATGTAAAATTCAGAGATGCATAGATGTTTGCCTCAATGAAAAATTGTGGTTGTGCTAAAAGACTCACTAAATTGTTTGAATTGAATTCACTGTTTGCATCAATAAGAAAAGATTTTGCCAAACTACAGAATGAACGAACTAATTGCCAAAAATTGCTAATAATTGTTCGGACATCATCGGGTGGAATGAATGAAACGTTGGCGGCATAGACTTCATTAATCCACTCTTGTGAGATAAATAGGCTTTGACATACTTCATGAAAAGTGACTTGAAAATTAGCGAATTCATCGTATTGTACAGTAAGCGATGAACAAGGACATTTAAGTGTATTTGGATAGTGATCATAGAGCTTCTTGAATTTTTCTGCAGTTGGATTGTGTATCGTAATATTGACTACACGCGATGAAGACACGGCATAGGTAATAGCAGATACCATGAACACAAATAAAAGACAGAGAAAAACTCTAGTAGATAGTCTTTCACGACGTTCTACCTCAGCATCATTTGACTGCGATTTGTAGACATTAAGCGTTTGAAGAAAAGTCGAAACCCACCGCATCTTGCTAGTTTTTATCTCTACTACTTGAATGTCTTGATTATTTTGCGAATGTTGCATTTTTTTAAAAGTTACTAAAATCAAAAGGATTAATAAAACAGAGGTATCACACATGCGGGTATATTTCTCCGTAGGTGACGTATCTAGTACTTTTAGAATTTTATACATCTAATCGAATTCAACTAATATTACGAGATGTGGCTGTGTCTTTACTTGCGTTTGATCACTTTTTCTAACTTGTTAATTATTTCCCCCGCTGTCATAGTTATGAAATTGTTGGTTTACGTGTTTTCTCATTAATTCCCTAATGATCGCTGGACGGATATGTTATTTCTTCAGAAGAGATCAAACTTTTCGAATTTTTCTGACATCACTGATCTACACAGGACTATAAGAAAAAATTTTCTGAATACTGTGGTATATCTTGACGTTCAACATTTATTGTCTTCACAGAAGATATATTTATCGCATTTCTCCTTGAACTCATACCTAGAAGATGACTTTCTGAAAATATTTAATTCATTCTATCTTTTTTTTTCTGCAATGTCTCTTTTAACTTTGTTAAATATGGCATAAAGTTTTACCGTTCTGTGGAAATGTTTGTCTAACAGGTCTGGCCTAACCATTACTGGGACGTGGACGCATCTGAAAGGGAGTTTCTAAGTGTGGACGAAATAGATCTCCAAGGGAGATTCTCGTAAATCTAAACACGATGTTTTGAATTACACACAGCAGGATTCATTTTAACTATGTACAAAATATATAATCTAAGTTTGATCACTGTATATATTTGAGGAGCCCAAATAACTTCCATCATCTTAGATATAAATATCGAATAAAGAATGAAATTCTACTGCTAAAACTTCTTAGTTTCCATAAAGAACTGGGTTTTTGTTTTATACATTGAATATCTCGCTCTAAATTATAACGCTATGTAAAGACTAGCAAACACTAACCGCAACAAAAATAATTTCACTAGAAACTATGAGAAGAATATAAATTTAAGCCTATTCCATAAACTTTTCATCCATCCCGTAAACGATAAAACCCAGTGACAAATGCTGCTCAGCCCAAAAGTCAATCACACACCAGAACACATTTAAGGTAGTGAAATCACCTTACCCAAAGCGAACTACGCTCATTACTAAGTAACACCATTAACCACCACTAAAAAGACAGGAAACCGAAAAAATTAAAAAAAACGGGACGAAAAATGCAACGAAAACATAACAAGAGTTCTACCAACACAAAAAAGAAAGTTTTTGTGCTGCCTAAAAGAAAAACACTATATACTTTTACCGAAGCAGAACTATGAAACCTCAGTCAAAAAACTAGAGTCACCAATAGAAAAATGCTATGGAGAAATGATGATGATTCCACAAACAAAAAAAAGATTCCTTTATAGCAACCCAAACCTAAAAAATATGCTTACCCAGTGAAAAAACTATGAAATTTTCAAGCGGATTTTTGTGCAACAAAATCCAAATTAAAATCGATTGATAATTTTCATTATCGTTGATCATGACTTAACTATCTATATATAATGTTCAGTGTCTGTGTGTCTGTCCGGGTCAAAGGTCAAATAAGACTCTAAGGGAGAGATCTCCAGGGCCTATTTTATGGGGTACTTATAGATCCTCAAGGACTATCCTATGAGAGTACCCATAGATCCTCCAGGGCTATCCTAAGAGGGTACCCATAGGTCCTCCAGGACTATCCTAAGAGGGTACCGATAGGTCCTCCAATGCTATTCTATGAGGGTATCCATAGGTCCTCAAGGGCTATCCTATGGGGGTACCCATAGGTCCTTCAGGACTATCCTATGGGGATACCCATAAGTTCTCAAGTGCTATCCTATGGGGATACTCATAGGTCCTCAAGAGCTATCCTAGCGGGGTACTGATTGGCCATCTAGGGCTATTATATTGTGATAGCCATAGGCCCTGAAGCGAGTAACGCAATAGGAAGATAAGGCTGGAGGGAATATAAGGGTATAAGATCGAAGGCTACATGGCCTATAAAAATATGTGCGATATGACAGTATGAGGCCGTGAGGCTATCTCTCTGTATACATAATATCGAGTGTCTGTATGTATTTTACCGCATGAAAAGTTAAATGTCTGAGGTCATGCGTTAAAGTATAAAACAGTCGTGCAGTATGCACGGGTTCTCGCTAGTTACTTGATATTGTTACTCAAACAGTAAGACATCTTCAAATCAAAAACCGGATGATACCATAGCAAATCCAACTTTATCAATCGATTAATAATTTCCACTGTCTTACAAAATAATCCAATTTTAATCCGAATATTTCATGCTAGATAAGTAACAATAACGAGTAATACTAAAATGCTGATCGGCAATAATCAAAATTATCAATCAATTGAAATCTTGATTTTGTTGCAGAAAAATCCAATTACAAATCGCAAAAAGTTTTGAATGCGTCAGTGTAGCGCAAAGACGACAATACAGGAAATAAAAGAAAACGCTACTACAAAAGTGCCACCGACAAATAACCATGGCTGTCTAAAAAGAATATGAGTTTCTCTCTAGTAACTCAAACCTTTATAGGTGCTTACCGTGGCACAAAGATCAAACTACAGAGGAGAATGCAATAACAGTAGTGGAAAGGTGCCTTCAACAAATAATAATAGTTCTTCACAAAGAAACTGACTTTCCATCTAGCAACTGAAACCTTATAGACCCTTCCCGCAGTACAAAGATGAAGCTACAGAGAACACAGGAAAAAAATTAGTAGAAAAGTGGCTTCAACACATAATAATAGTTCTTCAGAAAGAAAATGAATTTCCCTCCAGCAACTCAAACTTTCTAGCTGCTTCCTGAAGCAAAAGGATGAAAATACAGAGAAGAAAGGAAAAAAATTATGGGAAAAGTGCTTTCAACAAACAATAATGGTTCTTCAGTGAGAAAATGGGTTTCCTTGGAGCAGCTCAAACCTTTATTGGTGCTTAGCGAAGAAGAAAGATGAAAATATGGAGTAGAGAGGAAAAAAATTAGTGAAAAAGTGCCTTCAATAAACAATCATGGTCCATCAGAAAGTAAATTAGTTTCTCCATAACAACGCAAACCGTATAAGTGCTCAGCGTAGGAAAACAATAGAAAAAGTGGCAGTAAAAGGAAAACAAGTAGTAGAAAAGTGCTTCAAAAAACAGTAATCGGTCTGCAGTAAGAAAAAGAATTTTCCTTTAGTGACTCAAATCTTAAAGAAGCCAACCAAAGAACAAAGATGAAACTACACAGCAGAAAGCAAAAAAATAAGTGGAGAACTGCCTTCAAGAAACAACAATGGTTCCTCAGAAAGAAAATGAGTTTCCTTCCAGCAACTGAAACCTTCTAGTTACTTCCTGAAGCAAAAGGATGAAAATGCAGCGTACAAAGGAAAAAAGTTAGTGAAAAAGTGCCTTCAACAAACAGTAATGGTTCTTTAGAAAGAAAATGAGTTCCGTTCGAGTAACTCAAACCTTTATTGGTGCTTACCGAATCAGAAAGATGAAAATGCAGAGTAGAAAGGCAAAAAATTAGTGGAGAGCTGCCCTCAAGAAACAACAATGGTTCCGCAGAAAGAAAGTGTGCTTCCTTCCAGCTACTCAAACTTTCTAGCTGCTTCCTGAAGCAAAAGGATGAAAATACAGAGAAGAAAGGAAAAAAGTTAGTGGAAAAGTGTCTTCAACAAAGAATCATGGCTCTTCAGAATGAAAATGAGTTTCCCTCTAGGAGTGTGGGTGTGAGTGTGGGTGGGCGTGGGTGTGGGATGTGGGGGTGGGTGGGTGTGGGGGGGGGTGTGGGGGGGTGGGGGGGGGGGGGGGGGGGGGGGGGGGGGGGGGGGGGGGGGGGGGGG